AGAACAGTTTCAGGTTAAGAACGGACCTCCGGAACGAATTAAGTTCTTAACCCGAGGTACCACTGTACTAAGAGTTTCTCTCATTTCCACATTGTAACTCTGTTAAACATAATAGAAAACCGATACTTTTACGTGGGTATGAAATTAACCTTTCAATAAAGCATAAAAAGCTAACCTGAGCACTTCTCAAGCTCGAGTTTAAAATAGAGCCATTATGAAGGCTCCTGAAAGGCTGCCAACTTTTCTCCTTGAAAAACTACTGTAAGCGAATTGCATTTCCCTCGTGGCTTCCGGCACAATGTGATTGAGCTTTTCCGTTTACCATGAAGCTGTTTCGGATCTTTTTAAACTAGATGGGGAGGTGGTGGTTAAAAGGAAACTAATTTCATGTGTGTGTGTGTGTGTGTGTGTGTGTGTGTGTGTGCCTTTTTCTTTTGCTGTCAGCAGCGGATCCGTGTATGTGTCAAACTTCATCAGAGAAAATTACTTTAAATATTTCAGATTGCTGTATTGTGTTCAAATTATATAGTTACCAAGACCCCATACAAGGCAATTTTGTACTAATGCAAAAAAATAAAATAAATGCAGCTCGTTCTTTTGGCCTTTTTATGGGCACTGCTATAAAGGAAGTGACAGCATCGTGATGTTCCTATATTTTTTTTATTTTCACCTACCTGATTTCCACCCTCCCTCAACTGATTCAAGTCAATGCCCATTGCTATAGCTCAGTGGTACACAGGTCACAAACTCTGCAAACAGAAGGCTCTATGTTTGATCCCCCACATCTCCAGCTAGCAACAATTTAGTAGCTGGTGAAAGAAAAGACCTTTGCCTGAGACCTTGGAGAGCTTCCAGTCAAAGTTGACAATATTGGTGGCCTAGGTGGAGAAATATGACGCCTTCCTATGACTAATGACAACGGTATCCAGTTCAAATTTCAAGTCAAGGCCAGTAAAAGTGTGAATAATTATGGATAATTATGAGCAGCTGACAACCTTCCTTCCTTCTTTCTTTTCTTCCTTCCTTCCCATAATTTCTATTCCATGCCTTCAATGTAATTTTATGTTCCAAAGGTGACTAATAATAAGCAAGAAACAATGAGAGTATAATTTTTAAGAAATAGAAAATAATAAAATAAACCATACACACTAACACAAAGAACTGCAATTTTTATAATTATCACAGTATAATGATCATTGCCATGTTATGACTTAATTTCTCTTAATTTTGAGCTTCTGGTTCAAGTTTAGTACGGCAGCTCTCGTGCTAAGCTCAAGTTTTGCTTTATTCATTGCATCTGAATATATTTTTTTTAAAAAAAGGATTATCATTCTACGCTTCTCTGAGCTTTTTTTATAAGGCAAAGCAGTTAATATATTTTACTTAATTTTAAAAAGGAACAATCAAATATTGTGACGTACCTCCAGCCGTTTCAGGAACAACAAACGCATAATCTGCTTTACTAAATGCCGGCCCAAATTCATTGACAGGTAAGACTTCCACAATTATCGTAGCAGTTACTAATAAAAGAACAAGCAGACCAGCATTTTCCAAGTATTAACCTGAGAATTCACCCAGCAGACAGCAAATAGGAAAACAACCAACAGGAGAGTAAATTGAAACAAGAGGCCCAGGTCTTCATTGTGTCAGAGGGAGCCAGTGTGTTGGTTAGAGTGCTGGACTAGGACTTGGGATACCATAATTCAATCCAAACTGGAGCACGAAACTCACTGGGAGACCATGAACCAATCACTGCGCTGCAAAGAGTTGTTGCAAGAATAACATGGAGAAGGCAGAACCATATATACCACTTTGAGCTCCTTGGACAAAATATGGGATCCAGGTGTAATGATAAATAAATACTAAGCTATGGCCAGTATTTCATTCCCAGAATCAAGGCACAGTGGTCCTCAAAAGTGCCACTTACTATTTCATGGTCCTAGTGAGAGATTTTACTTTCTTGGGCTCCATGATCACTGCAGATAGAGACAGCAGTCACGAAATTAATAGATGCCTGCTTCTTGGGAGAAAAGCGATGACAAACCTAGACAGAATCTTAAAAAGCAGAGACATCACCTTGCTGACAAAGGTCTGTATAGGTAAAGCTATGGTTTTCCCAGTAGTGATGTATGGAAGTGAGAGCTGGACCATAAAGAAGGCTGATCGCCGAAGAATTGATGCTTTTGAATTATGGTGCTGGGGGAGACTTTTGAGAGTCCCATGGACTGCAGGAAGATCAAACCTATCCATTCTTAAGGAAATCAGCCCTGAGTGCTCACTGGAAGGACAGATCCTGAAGCTGAGACTCCAATATTTTGGCCGCCTCATGAGAAGAGAAGACTCCCTGGAAAAGACCCTGATGTTGGGAAAGATGGAGGGCACAAGGAGAAGGGGATGACAGAGGACGAGATGGTTGGACAGTGTTCTCGAAGCTACCAGCATGAGTTTGACCAAACTGCGGGAGGCAGTGGAAGACAGGAGTGCCTGGCGTGCTCTGGTCCATGGGGTCACGAAGAGTCGGACACGACTAAGTAACAACAACAAAGGTTCCAAACCTAAAGCTGGGGCAAGGTGGGGGGGGGGCTAAGAAGACACAGAGAAAAGATGGATTCCCCACACAAGAATCTCAAAGGAGGACACAGTCAGAAGAGCAAAAGGCATGGCATGCTAAGAAACACTTGGGCTCTTATAAAAATTCTCACCTGTGTGTGACGGATTTGCATCATCGAAAACAGAGAGAGTCATTTCATGGGTGCTGCCAACTGCAAGATTCCGTGGGTCTTCATAGTCCAAATATTGTGTTACCTTCCAACATAACAAGAGTGAACAATTAAACCAAGCAGCATAAGATCAAAGGCAGATTGAAGCTCGTGCATATTTCAGATTAACAGTTAAACGTATCTCACTTTTCCTGTTAGAAATGCAGATGCAACTATGGATAAGACTCAACCAGGGGCAATTTCACACTCGAAGGACTGCTAGAAAGAACACTTGGCTCCAGTTTCCATAGGAATGCAGAACTGAAATGTGCTGGTCCTACCCATCGCCTGGAGGATGAAAGGCTGCTGGGTTGTCTGTGTGTGTGTGTGTGTATGAATCTTGGGAGCTTCAATGCGGAACGGAGTTTGTGTTATCAGTACAAGCTGTTACTTATAAACTGCCTTGAGAATCATTTGATTGGAATGCAGGGTATAAACCACCAGGTCCAGATGGCATGATGGCATCCACCTGAGAGTTCCCAAAGAACTCATGTGAAATTGCTGATCCAGTAACAAAAGTATGTATTTGTCCCTAAGATCAGCTTCCATACCTGACAACTAGAAAATGGCAATGAAATGCTATTTAAAAAGTGTGCTGGTGGGGAACATGGGGGATCTTGGAAATTACAGGCCAGTTTGCTTAAAAATAAAAAGGTGAATGCAAATATCATCATCATCATCATCTTATTCTTACACAACACCCTTTCTCCAAAAGAAGGCCAGAGTGGCTCAAACTATGCATATTATCGGACAGTGATGGACAGCCAGGAATGGCGTTAGCTCCCACTTGCCACTCAGTGGCAAACCCAGGCTTGTTGCTGCATAACAAATAATAATAATTTTATTATTTATACCCTGCCCACTTGGCTGGGTTTCCCCAGACACTCTGGGTGGCTTCCAGCAGAATATAAAAACAGAATAAAACATTAAGTGTTAAAAACTTTCCAATACTGGTCTGCCTTCAGATGTATTCTAATATATATATATATATATATATATATATATATATATTATATATTATATATTATATATTATATATTATATATTATATATTATATATTATATATTATATATTATATATTATATATTATATTATATATTATATATTATATATTATATATTATATATTATTATAATGCTTAATTGTACTAAAACCTCAAACTGGTTTACAAAAAGAATAAGATTATCCATAAAAACTGTTAAAAACAAAATATTCAAAAATAGTAAGCTAAGACCAGAAATTGGCTTAATTCTGCTGCAAACCATTGCCAGACTAAAGTTCGTGCATTTTACTAAAGGGATTTTTTCGCCAAGTAACCTAGGAGGTCCAGTAGCATCCATGAGCTCCCTTAGATCAGGTCAAACTAGCCCAATATGGTATATTCTGTTCTGACTGGCTGACTAGAGTTTGAGACCTGCCATGGGCTTCTTTCACCTGGACTCGCCAGGGATCAAACCTGGGATGTTCTGCATGCGAAGCAGGTAATCTGCAACTGAGCTATGATGGATCCTCCCTTGTTCAGCTCCTGCGCCCTTGACTTGTCTTCTCCCACATCTTCATTTACTCACCCGAATGGCATTTTTAGCACCTGGAACTTGTTCAAACAGCTTTCCAGCGCCAACCGGGCCACTGTTGGGTTCATAATGGAGTTCATCGGGGGGACTGTCCGTATCGTGACATCTGACATTAGCAACCACTGTATTAATTGCAATAACTTCTCTGCTGGTATATCTGATTAAAAGGAAGTCATCAAAATGTGACATGCTTGTTCCAGCGACCTCAGTTTTCTTCTCTAAATGTCCATCAAATCAAAAGCCATTAATGATAGCACCTATCATTTGAAGATAACGTTCCACAAGCTGCTCAGACTGGGAGAATCTGGATCTGTAACTTCGCAAGGCACACTGCGATTTATACTGACTATAATCCGTCTGAATTTTTTTATACCCAGTAGTTCAAGTGCAACCATGGCAGGAGTATAATGGAACCCTATTTTATAGTCCTATAACTGCACAGTCATGAATGCTTCTTTTAAACATATTTGTAAGAGTCAATCCAATAGAAAGAAAAGACTTGACTACTTTGCCCTCACATTTTTAGGGGGATTCCAACAAGATTTCCCTCTCTCAAGTGCTACAGTGCTACTCACAAATTTTCAGAATAAATGGAAGTGGGTTGAAGTCTCCTTAAAACAATACAGTGGTACCTCGGGTTAGAGACGCTCCAGGTTACAGACTCCGCTAACTCAGAAATAGTACCTTGGGTTAAGAACTTTGCTTCAGGGTGAGAACAGAAATCGTGCAGTGGTGGCGCAGTGGCAGCAGGAGGCCCCATTAGCTAAAGTGGTCCTTCAGGTTAAGAACAGTTTCAGGTTAGGAACGGACCTCCGGAACGAATTAAGTTCTTAACCCGAGGTACCACTTTATGTGCTATCCAGTTGCGGCTGGTGCCCATTGGGACTTGTAGGGTGGGTAAGAAGACCAACAGTAAGTGGAGCCAGAGACAGACAGAGGTGAGTAATTCTAGTTTTGCCCCTATCCTCCTGCCTGCTGAGTTCTACAAGGGCAACACTGAGGCTGCCTACACACTTCCCATTTTGCAGAGCGAAAAATCAGTTTCTCTCAACACACATCCTCAACAAGATTGCAGATCCTGCGGTCGAGACAGGTGGGTGCAGTTACTTGATGTAAAGGTAAAGGGACCCCTGACCATTAGGTCCAGTCGTGGCCGACTCTGGGGTTGCGGCGCTCATCTCGCTTTATTGGCCGAGGGAGCCGGCGTTCAGCTTCCGGGTCATGTGGCCAGCATGACTAAGCCGCTTCTGGCGTACCAGAGCAGTGCACAGAAATGTCGCTTACCTTCCCACCGGAGCGGCACCTATTTATCTACTTGCACTTTGACATGCTTTCGAACTGCTAGGTTGGCAGGAGCAGGGACCGAGCAACAGGAGCTCACCCCGTTGCGGGGATTCGAACCGCCAACCTTCTGATCAGCAAGTCCTAGGCTCTGTGGTTTAACCCACAGCACCACTGCAAACCCTCCCCTTGATTAGATTATGCATTTCAAAACCTTGCCCTTGCTATCATGGTATATGCCCACCCACATCGTCACTGGTCAGGTATAGACACACACCTATGCACCCATTGCTGAGACAGCATGCATTTGTTTTCAAATAGGCTCACTGTGGGGCAATACAGCATCAATCTGCAATGAGCTTTTATTTTCAGAATTAGCTTGACAAGTGCTTTTCAGTGTGTGTGTGTGTGTGTGCATGCAATCAGTCTAGACCAGGCAAAGGCAAACTTCGGCCCTCCAGATGTTTGGGACTACAATTCCCATCCTCCCTGACCACTGGTCCTGTTAGCTAGGGATGGTGGGAATTGTAGTCCCAAACATCTGGAGGGCCAGAGTTTGCCTATGCCTGGTCTAGACTGTGTGTGAACTAGGTAGGACAAAGCAAGAATTTAGTCCCCACTGGTTCTAGAAGGAAAATGTGCATTTGCAGCCTGAGACTAAGGAAATAGAACCTGACAGGCAGTGCCACCAACTCGACTGCTTGTCAGAAAGAAGGCAGGCAGGTGGGGGCTGCCTGGGGGCAGACTGAACATGGTGTGGGCAGGGCTCCATTTGCTCCAATGGCAAGGAATATTTCTTTGTCCCATTTGTTCAATTGTTGTCAATGAGCTTCTTTATATATTTTTGAACATCTATGTGAAGGAATAGATATTACACTGGTACCTCGGGTTAAGTACTTTATTTGTTCTGGAGGTCTGTTCTTAACCTGAAACTGTTCTTAACCTGAAGCACAACTTTAGCTAATGGGGCCTCCTGCTGCTGCCGTGCCGCCGGAGCACATTTTCTGTTCTCATCCTGAAGCCAAGTTCTTAACCTGAAGCACTATTTCTGGCTTAGCGGAGTCTATAACCTGAAGCGTATGTAACCTGAAGCGTATGTAACCTGAGGTACCACTGTATGAGAAAAACATAGCTAACCATTTGCTGCCGTTTCTTGACTCACTAGCTCACCTGTATACATACTGATGACAGAATGGCACATTGTCATTGATTCCATGTATATTCACTATCACAGGAATGCCAGCACACCTCCGGGTACTGCTGCAAGCCACAACAGTGAATGACTGAGCACTGATAAATCCAGCCTCTTCCATGTCCAGTCTAGAATCAATTAGTAGAGTCCCACGAGCTGCAAAATAGTTGTTAGGATGCTGGTGATGATCTGTGGCCTGGCCTGGAACATTTAGTAATGCTTACTAAACTATGAACCTGCCCATAATCTAAGACCTCCACCTGATGTTCTGCTTGTGTGCCCACTACTGAAATTGGTTACATTAGTGAATACATGAGCGGGGCCTTCTTGGTGGTGGCTCCACAGTTGCAAAATTCTCTTCCAGTTAACATTTCCTTGGTGTATTCTATTCTAGCATTCATTAACTTTTCAGAAACTCCTGTTTTAACTTATAAGCACATTAGGGGAGCCCTGCTGCGTCAAGCCCAAAGCCCACCTAATCTAGCATCCTGATCTTAACGTGGCCAACCAGATGTCTAGGGAAGCCTGAAAGCAAATGGGCACCAGCAATGGTGAAGGACCATAGTTCCACGGTACAACACATCCTTGGCATCCAAAAGGCCTCAGGTTAAGTCGTACCTGAAGCCCTGTAATGCAGCTGCCGTTCAGTGTTGACAGTATTTAGCTACAGTAGAATGGTGGTCTGACCTGATATTAGAGGAAGTAGAGCAGAAACAGGACTAGGAGGCTCCAGGCATAGGCAGTGGGCCTCCAACTGAGATATCAGCAGCTGCCTAAGGTACGATGCTGATGCCTGATGCCTCCCCTGTAACATCCCAAGCGCCTCTTTGCATATTCCATGCGCTATGCTGCCCCTTGTAGAAGATACAAACTTCATATTTTGCAACATTTTGGTTGGTCCTCTTAAACCCATCGCCCACTGAAATAATGGTATCCCCCTCCCCCTTATGCACTACACACCTTGGCCACCTTTGTTTTTCACATAAGCTAGATTTTGCCACTCTCGTGCCCTCCAGATATTTTGGACTACAATTCCCATCAGTCTTAGCCAGCACAGGCGGCTTGGGCTGATGGGAATTGTAGTCCAAAACATCTGTTCCAGGAGAATTATGTAGACTGACAGTGAGCTATCCTCTTCTCCTGTGGTTGTAATAAAAAACAAAGCATTAAGGGTAGGGGTGGGGTTTTGCCAGGATTCACATCCGTCATGGCTTACCTTTGTCAATCATGAAGTAAGGATTGCTTGGATCAAGAACGAAGGTGATAGGATCCATTGGATCTTCTCCCGCAGCATGGCACTTGCCAACTGTCATCCCAATGGGAATTTCTTCATCCAAAGTAATGTCCACCAGAGCCATTGAAACCGAGTCTTCTGTCCTAGGAGTCAATCTGCCTTTCCCAATACTGAAAAAACTAGAAAAGCAACACAGCTTATAAACAGTAGTTACAATGTACAGCTCAGCAGTGGATCATATCTTTTTCACTGAGCCAGCCCAGTCTCAGTCTTCACTTTAGCAAGTGTGGATATGACAGTAATTATCCAAGATGTGGCAGCTTTATAATTCCCATATTGATGGTGGGAAGATGAGGATGAAATAGTTATGCACTGGGCAGAGGAAGTTTTGAACTGGGGACTCTCAGGCCTATAATTCCTACTCTCAGGTACCACTTCGCTTATTTAAGGAGCTTAGAAGAGTTTGGATTTGATATCCCGCTTTATCACTACCCTAAGGAGTCTCAAAATGGCTCACATTCTCCTTTCCCTTCCTCCCCCACAACAAACACTCTGTGAGGTGAGTGGGGCTGAGAGACTTCAGAGAAGTGTGACTGGCCTAAGGTCACCCAGCAGCTGCATGTGGAGGAGCGGAGACACGAACCCGGTTCACCAGATTACGAGTCTACTGCTCTTAACCACTACACCACACTGGCTCTTAGGTGGGGACAGATCAATAACTGTGGGGAGAGAGAGAGAGAGAGAGAGAGAGAGAGAGAGAGAGAGAGAGATGGGTGCGGTACAAAAAAATAAAATTATTCTTATTATTTCAGAGTTTCAGACAATCTCTTCTCCCAAGCAGAATGTGATATGGTTTTCCACACATGACAATAAGGAACTTATATTTCCATGGCTGTGAAGGGAAGATAGCTGTGTGTGCCTGTGTGCATTTTCCTTTTTAAATAATATTGAAAGCAGCATAATGAAACTGTAATAATAATAATCATCATCATCATCATCTTCCCCACTATTATCCCTAGTCTGGCTATAGCAGTTTTAGTAACGTCTCTGAAATCTGCAAAACCTTTTGGACTAGCAGAGACCATACTGGGACTAGGGTGGGGTGGGGGAAATAAGCACCTGTTCCTACAGGTGAGACAGCAGAAAATGGATAGCTGTTCCTACATTCCAAGCCCAGCCCCGCAGTCCTACTCTGTTCCTACAGGAAGCTCTAGAGACTTTGGTCCACCATCAAGGGACTCTTGAAAAGTCTATCAATTATACACAAGCACAAGATACACACCCTATAGAACCAAGCACTACCTTGGATGCTTACGTGCAATTAAGAAAGACATCCCCACTGTGCTTTACTTCCACAAGAAACACGTTGATATATCCAGTCGCAGAGAGACCTTCTGGATCAGCCACAGTCACCTTTACTGAATAGCTGTAAGCAAATTATATATTTATCTACTGCAGTGATATCCTGCTTTCCCCTCAGCCCAAATAACCCCAACACCATTCTCTGACATCAGAAATGGGGATATCCAGAAAGTAACAGGAACACCTATCAATCTTCCAGGACACTCTGTAACTGACCTTTATCAAGCAATTCAATTATGTCACCTGTGGGTTACATCAAGATTGCTGCTGTGCTGTTTTGTTTTTTTTAATCACACTACATGTGCTAATTAGTTTACTAATGCCAGGCTGTTTGCATTAGCACCAACACTACCATGTTAATTGGCCACTCTGCTGCATTGTTAATTGGTTACTGTAACTATTTTGCTTTCAGGTAGCTGTCACTTTCTGCTCTTTTTACATTTCATTTCCTCTGGCCTCAATTCTCTGCATTCTCTTCTCTTCCCCTCCCATCTTGCCAATTTAGGATCGTAAGTCGTGCAGCTGATGAAATGGACTGTGTTGCGTGAAAGTTCATGCCATAATAAGCTTGTTGGTCTTTAAGGTGCCAGGAGACTCTTAAGGTCTTTGGTTTGGTGGGATCCACCTCTTTTGATGAATTTATACTGATCCATTCAGGGTGGAAAGATTTCATTGGATGTTATAATTTTAAAGGTTTTACCACTTTTCATAATCGCTTGTTGCATTGTTGTAACTCACCCTGGGACCTTATGGTGAAGGGCAGGTAAGAAATAAAAATAATAAAAATTGGTGCCAGGTGCTCAGAAGGCTTCTTCCCATATAAACCTGCCAAACAGCTTAAGGTCCATCATTCTATGTCCCTGCCTTTGCTTTGGAAAGGACCATGATTTAGTGGCAAAAGAGCTGTGTTGCATTCAGAAGGTCCCAGGCTTAATCCGTAGTATCTCCAGATAGGCCTGGTAATGTCCCTGTCTGAAAATCTGGAGAGCCGTAGCCAGTCAGTGAAGACAATACTGAACGAGATGGACCAATGGTGTGACTCAGTATAAGGCAACTTTCTGTGTTCCTGTACTCAGAGGTGGTGCAAGTGACCACTAGGAAAGGAGCTTTCTGAGTAACTCTACCCTAGGAATGTTGTCCTGATTGCGACTCTACCTGCTATCTTGAATTCAATATACTTCAGGGGCCAAGGGAAGGTTTTCTGGTTTACCCAAGAGCTTTTGTTTGATGGTTTGCATAGTTTTCAGTTACTGGTTACTGCTTTCTATCATCTGTGGTTCGCAAGTACCGCTTAGTTTTCCCTGCCCCTATTTCATCTGCTGAAGTTTGGTTTTATATATGTTATATTCATACTCATAAAATTTATACACCACTTGATTGTGTTAGCAGACTTTGCAGCTTGGATGAATTAGATTGGAATAATCATTTACAGTTTCTGGAATTCAAAGGCTTTATTCATGCAGGAACGATTTACAGGATGAGTGGAAAGAGGAAATAGAGGACATCTTATCTGGAGAGAACAGTAGACAAAATTGCTCAGCTTTTAGGGTTAGAGTTAATTTAGACGACAAGCATAAGGAGAGTGGCTAGATCATTAAACTGTGACCTCTTGAGAAGGAAGTGTATTTGCTTTCCTTCAACAGTTTGTACAATAAACCTCAAAACAGTTTACGAAAGAGATTAAACAATAAAATTATCACAAAGAAAAAAATTCACAAAAATACATACACATTTTGTATGTGTGTATTTTAGACATACAAAAGTCTAAAATACTAAAACAAGTTAAAATTCAAATCAGCTTTCTAAGCATCTGGGAGGAACAAGGGGAGCCCAGTTGCGCTAGCATAAGTCCTCGCTCAGGCTTCTGCTAGTAGGGCCAGATAGTTGAATCAGGTCCCATGAAATTATCTCATCCTCTTTACTAATAATAAGCCAAATAAGCCAAGATACGACTGTTTGAACATGGGCATTCTGTTGTAGAAATGCAGCAGAAACTGCCTCTAAATAAATGACCTACACAGAAAACTGAGTATGTCCATGGGCAACTTTCCGCTCCTTCTCTATAGTACCATTTCTCTATCTTCTCTTTGTCTGTCTTAGCTAGTTAAATCACATCTAATTGAAAAACTCTCCAGAGTAGAAACTTTGTCTCTCGCAATATTTTGTTTCAGCTTTGAAAGGTACAGCAAGTGGTGGCTTCAATTGTCACTTTAGCCTGCTGGAGTAAAACTAGAATGATAAACAATGAGTGCCTGTAATTGGAAAGTGAATAATTAGATCAGAAAGTTCCTTCTGGTTGAGCAGAAAGCTCTGCAGTCTCTCTGGGAATATGATGAAGAGCTTTCCAGATCTCATTTGGGTAACAGTCTCTCTTCCACTTGACAAAAAGGAGGGAGCAAGAGGGGAGTTATGCATACTTTCCCTAGACATGTTCATGCATTTCCAAGTCATCCAAGTAAGAAATGCTCTGATTAAAAAAGACACACCTTCTATTTTTAAACAACACCAGGCAGTATTAATATGCAGGTAGAGGGAAATGACTAATTAATGTAGTTCAGCCTTATTAACATACAGCTATAACCCTGTTGCATCCTGCAAGGGCTGGTGAGGTCAGCATTGAGGCAGTTAGAATTAATTAGACATCCCAGACTCCCTCCGCCCCCCTCTGAATTCAGGCACATCCTGAATCCCACCAGAAGGATAGATACAGAGCTAAAAGCTGAAGGTCTTTTAAGCTTATGAACGAAAACAAACAAACCCTGCAATAAGCAAGAAACCTATTAATAGCAATACTAGTTTTTTCCATCCTGTCATTTTCAAATGCCTAATTTAAATTTATTTTTGCATATACACATGAATCAACTGTTCTTCTAAGCTTTGGGCAAAAATCAAAATCAAAATGTTTTTGTTCCCTTGGTTTTCCTTCCAAACTCCCCCTGATTTATGTCCTTGACTAAACTGTGGGGCGATGTCACATGATACGACCACATGATCTGGAACTTCCACACTGAAAGGGCCAGGAAGTGGCTGAGGTAATGATTTGAAACACCTGTTGTTTTGTTACTCCTTATGAGTCACGGGAATGCTGTGATATACAATGAATTGAAAAGGAGGTTCAAAATAACTTTTTCTTTAAAAAAAAAAAAAAAACCAGAAGCTTTTCTTTTGGGAATTATAGGGGCAGAACTACCTAAATTAGGATGAAACTGTGAAATCTGCTATGATTAAATGGGCACAAGATGTTGGACACAATATTATGTTTGCTGACTGGGAACAGTTATGGACCACAGGTATGAAGTTTACGGCATGTAATGCCTTAAGAGAGAATATTATGAAAATGATATACAGGTGGTACATGACTCCAGTCAAGCTTGCAAAAATCTACCATCTGCCCGATAACAAATGTTGGAAATGTAAAGAAACTGAAGGTACATTCTTTCACCTTTGGTGGACGTGCCCAAGGATTATTTTTTCTTAAAATTAAATTTTTATTGAAGTTTTAACAAACACCATAACAAACTAAGAAAAAAGAAAAAAGAAAAAAAAACATGACATACAAATACAAAAGAATAAAACACGTATAACTTCAATTTTTACTTTCTTTTAGCTTACTTTCACGACTTCCTCATACCTTCCCTTTCTGTATTCTAATTTCAAATTCAATTTTCAGCAAATCCTTACCCTACTTTTAAATTAGTTTTAATGACAATTATTTTCTTCAAATTATCCCTTGCTGCTTTTAACCCCTTAATGACCAATCCAGCATTTTTCTAGCCTTCATTAATTTTACAGTATTTTTTTAGATACTCTTTAAATTTCTTCCAATCTTCCTGCGCCGTATCCTTTCCCTGGTCGCGGATTCCGCTCGTCATTTCCGCCAGTCCCATATAGTCTATCACCTTCAGTTGCCATTCTTCCACGGTGGGTAGTTCTTGCGTCTTCCAGTACTTTGCGATGAGTATTCTTGCTGCTGTTGTAGCATACATAAAAAATGTTCTATCCTTCTTTAACACCAATTGGCCGACAATGCCCAAGAGGAAGGCCTCTGGTTTCTTAGGAAAAGTGTACCTAAGTACTTTTTTCAATTCGTTATAGATCATTTCCCAGAAGGCCTTGATCTTTGGCGTGCCCAAGGATTAAGGCTTTCTGGGAGATGATAACGAAATGAAAAAGGTATTTAAATATACCTTCTTGAAGAAACCAGAGGCCTTTCTCCTGGGCATCGTGGGCCAATTGGTGCCAAAGAAGGATAGAACTTTCTTTATGTATGCTACGACAGCAGCAAGAATACTTATTGCAAAGTATTGGAAGACACAAGACCTACCCACCTTGGAAGAATGGCAGATGAAGGTGATGGACTACATGGAACTGGCAGAAATGACCGGCAGAATCCGAGACCAGGGAGAAGAGTTGGTGGAAGAAGATTGGAAGAAATTTAAAGACTATCTACAGAAATATTGTAAAATTAATGAGTGTTAGAATGATGTTGGATGAAAAGTTATGTGGTTTTTAGCTATAAGGCTATAAGGAGTAGGAAAAAATGGATTATTAACAGGTAAAAATTTAATGTTACATTATTTTAAGATTAAAGATTAAGATAAACAAAGAGGGAAAGGATTTGCTGAACTAACAAATTGAACGGGAATACAGAAAGGGAGGTCCGGGAAACAAGCAAATGAAAGATAAGTGATTGAAAGATGGAATTGTTTTTTAACTATTTTTATTTTGTATTTTTCTTTTTTCATTTTCTATTTTGTAAAATTCTAATACATATCTTTTTTTTTAGAAAAAAGAACTACCTAAATTGTATAGAAATTTATTTATGTATGCTACTACAGCAGAAAGAATGCTACTTGCCCAAAAGTGGAAAGAAGCAGAAGTCCCAGCAAAGGAAGAACGGATGCAAAAACTTATGGAATATGCAGAAATGGCGAAACTTACTGGAAGAAGAAGAAATCAAGATAAACTTTTTTATATAAAAGAATGGAAATGGTTTATTGAATATTTACAGATAACTTACAAACAGATAAAAACAATGGCAGGATTATTGTAATAACCTGCAGTTTCATAAGAGTATATATTTAAAGTAGATACCGTATTTTTCACTCTATAGGACGCACTTTTCCCCCTCCAAAAATTAAGGGGAAATGTGTGTGCGTCCTATGGAGCAAATGCAGGCTCCTTGGCTTCAGCGATAGCAACGCGAAGCCTCCGAAGCTCAGAGGGAGCGCTCCCTCCGCGCTCTGGAGGCTTCGCGTTGCTTTCGCTGAAGCCTGGAGAGCGAGAGGGGTCAGTGCACACCCCCCACAAGCAACCACATGTGGGAAATAATTTTAAATGAAAAACAATTGGGATTTTCTCCACTTCTGAACAAAATAAAACCACAAAACAGATATCTGCTTACCTCTTTTCCCTGTGTTCAGATCTGAAGGTCTCTGTTGTAGAAATTGTCCCTGCGCCATCAATCTTGAATACTGTGAGATTCGGTGAGATCTCGATAGAGAACTAGTAGGAAAGGGTGGCATCAATTTTTAAAATGTTACGGTTCATGCAAAATGTCAGAGGTTGGAAAACAAAGATAGAAAAGAATAATCTGATATATTAGAAGTATTGCTGTATTTGAATGCCCAGTCCATCCCTATGCAAGTGAATCCACAGGATAGTAGCAATAGTAGCTATAAATCTATTGAACTGTTATCCCTTCTTCCTTCAAACATTACTCATAAAGCAACATTTATTTTCTGACTGGCTTTCTGGAGGGTGGCTGAATTTGCTCTTGGTTATCACTGGCTCTTTGTATTACTTTCTGATTTTGATTTAAATCCTATAGTAAGTCAAATGAAGTTCATTGAAGGAAATTTCCTCATCCCCTCTATTCCCCTGCTCCCATAAGCCTCTCTGGAGAGTGGTAGGAGGGGGCCTGTGGGATGTGGCACAGGGGGACTTGCTGGGGAGAGAAGAAGAAATCCTTCTTTAAATTCCCTAAAGATCCAGTTCTGATTTATATCAGGGGGACAATTAGCATCATTACCCACAATGATGCTGCGGAGGAGTCTGCCCCTTGAGAGGAGTCTCTGGTTTGCTGGACTCAATGCCTTCCTTCTTGACACACAGAGTACTTCCGGTATATCCTTCCTTGTCCTTCTTATAGAGTTTATAGCTGGAGATAACTGTTAATTTGTGGGTGAACATATCAGACGACACAGTGATTCTTCAGACAGCTCTTGTTTATTCACAGGCCAGAACAGAACTGAACTGAAGGGTTCAGCCAGCCTGCTTATATAAAGCTCCAGTACAATGCAACAGTAGCAACTTTCTGTAACTATTCAATCACTGAATGTCACTTTCAATCCCTTATTTGCATATGTGGACCTGAGTGCAAACTATCTACAGTATCCCCCTGCTGGCCCAGGGTGAGAACTTCAGTACATAATAATAACCATGTCCCACGGGTTCTCTCCCTTCCACCAGGTTTCCACTCAGGGCCAGCCCTTCCATGAGGCAAAGTGAGGTAGCTGCCTCAGGCGGAAAATTCTGAGGAGCAGAAAGTGGCTAGAAATGTGGGCCATGCAGTCTAGATTCCTTCCCTAGGGTGTGGAGGTCGGGCTTTGTTCCATCACCAGTGCTTAAGGATGATTCAGTTACCAGCCTAGTCAGAATTTGTGCACGGAGTAGGGAATGCCTTGTCCTTCGACTCAGGCAGCAAAATGGCTTGGGCCACTCCTGTGCCCACTATTTCAATGCCATCGCCAAAGACCAACTGCTGTCCCCTAAGACCATTGTGCAAATTCATACAGATTGGCTTTCTTTTAATGCGAAAGAGAAGAGTTATGTCACAAAAGCTTTCTCTCCCCCCCCCCCCCGCACAAACAAAGTGTGGCTGATAGCTTGTTACAGTCTGATATACTTCTGTTTACAAAAGGACTCACATGGTTACTAGGCAACAGAAAGACTGGAAGTCAGCTGGAGGAACAAGGAAGTTTTCTGCTTGAGTTTTTGGAACCATCACAGCCAGCAAGTGAGAACACAAATAGCCTCTGTATTAGAGCAATTGGCTTGACTTTATTATCAGCAGATGGACAGCCTGATGCTCCCTGGAGATTTTTTTAAGTCATTAAGGACACATTAAGGATTGAAAGCAATTTTTCAATCCAAGTGATTTCAATCCAAATGGTTTCAATGAGAGAGCAAACATGTTAATTACCTCTCACTGAAATCTGTGAGATTTAAAAGTGCTGAAATTTGTCTGGATTATGTTTTAGATACAGTATTGCCACCTAGTTTTGCCATATGTCTGGAATTTCCCAGACATGGCCGGGATTTGGCCGCTGGAAACAGAGCCTGGGCAGAAAGCGCTTAAATTTCAACACAAGTCTTTTCCCTAAAGTAGAACCACTGAAGTGAATGGACATGACTAACTGAAGTGCATTGGTTTCAATGGGTCTACTCTGTGTGGGGCTTGGCTGAATACAACCAGTGCTTTATTTCAGCGCTGTGGGGATTTGATAAGATCTCCCAGGGACATTAACAAAAATAATAATGTGCAGATACTTCTAAAAGTGGATTAGTAGGCCATTGACATTTGAGGCACTAAAGGCGCACAGCTCCATCTCTGAAAACTCCATGGAAAAATTAGCTAAGGCGTTTCTGCTGTGGTCAGTAACGTTGTGAACTAGTCTGCCGCCTGGTGGCTAATTTGCCTTTAAAACCCAAGGATATGGTTTGCAACTCACCGCCACCACCTTTGTTCTGCTGTAGTAGTTCTTGAATTTGCGGGATTGAGTCTTAAGGAGGGTATGAATGTTCAGGAATCGTATGCACTGACGGAGCTTGCTGTGCCATTTCAAGAGAGGCTTATCTTTTTGACAGGAGTAATGGTTGCAGCAAGACCGGGAAAGAACACTGACTCGTACTTTCATATTCTTTCTATGTCTCCATGCCTGTTATTCGAGCTGGGCAAAGCCAGTGTGTGTGGTTTATCACCATTTGTTAGAAACCAGGCTGAGGAGCACTACTCTGATGAAGAATTGTGGGAGCCTCCCCCTCCCCCTGACCAGGATCCTGAATCTTCCCAGGAGCAGTGGGACAGTATAGATTTGGAACAGTGGTTTGCAGAGGGGCATAGTTCTGAAGACAAAAGTTGGGGTGAACTGGGGGGCAAACAGCTAGGAGAAGAAGAACTGGGAGAGAGAGAGAGTTAACTGACTCTCTTTCTTGCTTGAAAGTCTATATCTGCCCAGTCCAAGGTCACGATGAGCAGGTAAGGTGGCAGCCCAGAAAGCAAGGTGGTTGCGAGATCAGGTTGCAAGGCGCAGAAGTGACTGGGGGGAAGTGGGGGGAAACCTTAACTGGGAACACCATCATTCCAAGAATGGCTGCTTTGTTCTTTTGCTGTGATCATTAAAGACTCTTTAAATGGTAAACGACTCTTTTCACCTTCTCCTGCTTGTCTACGGCCAAAGGGGCGGAGGAAGCTGAGTCCTCGAAGCCTGACACCATCCTACATTTGGAAAACGTGCTCTTGCACCCTCTGTTCTTCAGCATCCTTCGTAAAAGCCACCTTCTCCACAAATCCACACTTTAACAACACATTTTAACTCCCCCAAATCCACAGGGTGCCTGTGCTTCTGATATACAGTATGCAACTAGCTATACTGGATAATTACACCAGTAGCAAACACAAAATGGAGCCACTGAGAAACGAGCAGGAGGTATCAGCATGCTTGGGGATGTTTGCAGAAATGCAAACAACTCTTGGGGGGGGGGCAAGCAAACAAAATGAAACAAACCCCAGAAGCCAGAACTGAAAAACAGAATTGGGAAACCCTCTAATGGTGCACCCTCTAAAAGGGCATGGCTGGTTGGCTGACACATTGAACAGGAACACTTCTCTGCAACCTTTTGCTGCCGGTCCCACTTGTTAAAATTGTTTGTTTGTTTTAAAATAAATTTCTGTTTCTTGATATAGCTCTCAAACTGAGGTGGAAATGTGAAGAACTGAAAAATGAGAAACTGGGAGAAAACAAAATGGACATTCCTAGTAACAACACCACTGAAATAAAACACAGCTGCCCAAAGACAATGCTAAATTCCACTTCACGAGGACTGATCTATCATGTGGGATCCGCTTGTTCAAAGGAAATGGGTCTATGACCTGAAGCTGGATATCTTTATTTTTATTTTTTGCATTGAAGAAGGTAACAACATTCAATCTGGGCTGGAGTCGTACAATTCCCACTGGTGCTATAATGTCATAAAACAAGAGCAAAAGTAGACCTGAGGGAGTCGTGCTCATTAGCGGAACATCCACAGTTTTGAATAATGTATTCTTAAAAATACATTACATACATTCTTTAATAATATATATATTCTAGCCTAGCATTTGAAAAACTTAGCACGAATTTCCCCAAAGGTTTTTTGTTTTTTTAAAAGAAAACAACCAAGGGAACAAGCTATAATCATAAATAAAGCTGATGGCCTGTTCCATACCTTGAAAAATGCCTTGCTTGTGTTTAAAGTTTGTTTCATAGCTGAATTATCAACCACAGAAGATGGCAGTTTATAATTAAAATCCAAACTCTTCCTTAATTACAGGTATTGCTAAAGTATCGTTCCTTGCTATATAATTACTCCTCATGGAGATGACTAATTATTTTATTTTATTTTTGAAATGAATCTCCTAGTAAAGTAGCCCCAAAATGCAGGGCTGCCAAGGCACAATATGTGGCCCAAAATTTTAGGGGAGAACCTAAAATTCTTCTTTTGGGGAACATGAAGGAAGGGGCGAAATCTCAGGTCAGGAGCCAGGCAAGCTGTCTTCTCTTTCCCCCGGCCCGCCAGTTCCATTCTGCACTTTAAACCACCCAGTATTGCAGTATGTTGCTCAGCCCTGTCTCTCCCTCTCCCTCTCTCTCTGTGGGAGCATTGGCCTAAGGAGCAGCAATAAACACAAGCAACTTTTTTTTTTTTTTAAAGGAATTACATTTCTTCATGCCTGGTGGGCCTGCAATGCAGTGCGAATGTTATTGCGGTTGTCAACCAGGCGCCCGTGGGACACCTGCAGGGCTGGCTTACCCATAGGCACTAGGGGTGTGGGGCACCCAGGCACTGGGCTCTCAGGGGTGCCAGGCCGAGAGTCTGGAGTCCGGAGATTGAAGAGCCAAGCCAGTCGACACCACTGCCGAGCGGATCAGAGCCCGTCGGAGCGCCGCAGGCTTTTCTGCTGTGGGCGCTGAGGCAGCTGGCTGGCTCTGTCCTCCTGCACACCTGGGATTGGCAGGCCGTCGAGAGGCCTGCCCAGCGTACACACACTGCTCACACGAGGCATGCAGGCCATAGTCACCATAGTCCTGGCAACTGTTACCCACCAACAACAATGGCTCCGCTCTGACTCCACCGCTGCCTCCTTCTCCTCCCGCCGCAGCTCCTCCTCACCCCCGTCCTCCTCCTCCTCACCCTGCGGTGCCTCAGCCTCGCCCACAACCACCACCACCACCACAACCAGCAGCCAGAGCAGTGGCAGCGCCCCAGCAGCCCCCCTCAATGCAGACATCAGAGACTGGTTCGGACACAGGTTCGACAGTGACTTTACAGACTTCTGTAGCTGGCCAAGCAGCCATGCCTACCCAGGTGGTACAGCAATTACCAGTGCAACAAAAGGTTGAGCAAGTGCAAACAGTGCAACAGGTCCAGCATGTCTACCCAGCCCAGGTGCAGTATGTGGAGGGAAGTAACACCGTCTACTCAAATGGAGCCATACGAACAACCACGTATCCTTACACAGAAACTCAGATGTACAGCCAAAACACTGGAGAGAGTTGTGCACCTGCCACCTATATGGCTGGAGGGCACACAGCTTCCCTCCCAAGCCTCAGAGTTGTGAGCTGCCCCCCTAAAAAAAGCTCAACAAGCTTTGCCTACCCCAACCCCCCAATGGAGGCGCTGGGCAGTTTTTTGCACCCTGGCACCACATACGCTAAAGACGGCCCTGGACACCTGTGAGCAGGACCTGGACACAACAGCACCCTGTGTGCCTCGCTGCTACCCTGCCCCACAGTGCCCCAGTCCCAACCAGCTAAGCAGCTGCGACACCCGTGTCAGGAGGGCATTGGTCTCCAACCCACCATATGCACCACTGCTGTTCACGTTGGCAATTTTGACGCGCCCGTGGGATTTATTTATTTAAGACATGTATAACCCGCCTCTCCTCAAAGAAGCTCAAGTCAGTGCATACGACCGATCCTGTGAAGGAGGTTAGAAGGAGAGAGGGAGAGCAACTGGCCCAGGACCATGGTTGAGTTGTCTTCCCAGTCCCAGACTGACATTCTTAAGCACTGTGCTACATTGCCAAGAGTTCTGTGTCTGTGTCACACACGACAAACAGAGGTGAAGCCTTGTCCATTTCCCCAATATTCAATTTAAGGAACATGGGTGGGGAAAAGTAATTTGAGACCTCACCTTATTTCCATAGATTAAGCTATAGAAGTCTAAGAGTTATTGAGAATTACCTTCAGAGGGGCTCCCTCAGGATCACTGGCAGTGACTCTAAAAATTCCAGTGTTTTGCAGGGTATCCTCTGTGATATAAATTTCAGGAGCTGCAGATAGATATTGTTGATGAATCATTCATTTGTTATTATTACCTAATCATCTGGCAGCTGTAATTCCCACCTACAGGCTTCTTTATTTTGATTTCTGCCCCTCACACTGTTCCTTAGACAATGTTAAAATCCTGAAACTATCAAAACAGAATTGGCCATGCTAGCTAGGGTTGATGGGATTTGGAGTCCAGTTACATCTGGAGGACAGAGTGTTTTCTACCCCTGCTTGGGATATTCTGCATGGATTGAAGTCATCCTAGGAGCAAAAGTTGGACCCAGAGTCTGTCTTCCATGGACAGATTTGCAAAAGGGACCAAGGTCCGGGAGAGTTCTTCCTGGAACAAAGGAAAGGCAGGGTCAATGCAAAACACACCATTGCCTGAGGTGGAGCTATGATTGCTTCTCTGTAGCAACCCCATGACTTGGACCTCCTCTCCACTGCTATTCTCAGGAAGAGAAAGCCAATTCAGAACTCCAATAACATAATACTTGCCCCATCCTCCAGCCCTAGGAGTCCTCATAAGGGAGCTGTGCTTAGAGGAAGAACTGTGAGGGGAGAGGTTTCCAGCCATCCATTAAATATCATATGCTGATATTTAATATTCTATACTATTCTAATGGATTGTTGAATATTACTTTATTTGTTATTAGTTGCTTAAAGTTATATTTTATTATCACATTGTTGTATTGGATCAGATTATTATAAGGTGTACATTTTTGTTTCTTCATCTTTACAAATTAAATGTGAAATGAAATGAAAAATTCCAACTTCCACTGAGTGACTGGGACAAAAAATTACACAGGGAGTGGCAATCAAAATAAATGGGTTTGTGACCTTCTGAAAAGCCTGAGATGTAGCCTGCTGGTTGTAGGGCTGCCATATGTCTGGAAAATGGCATCCAGGTGGATTTTCGGCCACTCAGCAAAATGTATGGTAAGGGGAATTAATATTATTCCGCCCAAAAGCTCAACAACTTTGAGTAAGAAGAAAATAAAAACTTTGTTCACTTTTGGGAATATGGCAACCCTATCCTGGTGTAGCTTCATTGGGAGGGTATTTCAAAGGTGTGGTGCCACCACAGAAAAGGCCTTTCTTGGGGTTACCCATCCTACAGATTTAGGCCCCAGACACACCAAAAGGATCTCTGGAGGAGATCTTAATGCGCAAGCAAAATGGTCGAGGTGTGGGATGTTCGTGAGTTTAGGGCTTGAACTGTTTAGGGCTTTGAAGAGTGGCACTAGCAGCTTGAATTGGTTCTGGAAATGCAATGGAATCCAGTGTAGCTTGTATAATATAGGTGCTATAGAAACTTTGCACCCATCAGGACTCCACCAGCTGCATTTGAACCTGCTGAAGTTTGCAGTCTGTCTTTAAAGGCATCCCCATATAAAGAACATTACAGTAGTCTCATCTGTATGTGACCAGATTATATTGGTAGAAGGGGGTCAAAGGCAGGTCAGAGGGTGTGAAGCTTTTGAAACCAGCCATTGATCATGTCATCAAAATGCAGTTGCTTCATACCTTGGCTAGGCTGAGTCAAAAGCCCAGTGAAGACAGGCGGTTCGTTGACATCAACAATCTGGACAAAGATGGTCTGAGAAGCCGAACTCCCCTTGTCATCTCTCACAAGGATGGGAATTGTGTAAAGACTTGTGACTTCAAAATCCAACTTGGGTAATGCAGTGGTCATTAACTGGACAGGTTAGAAATTCAGAAAACTAAGTGTGAGTATAAAAATAATAATACACAGACTACTATTTCCAGCTTGTAGCATTTTTCTTATTTTACCCTGTTCAGCAAAACTGAGATGGATGTGAAGCTAGCAGTTCAGCAGCTGTCACTTATGTCTTCTCTGCCTCAAGAGCTGAGTCATACTGAGCCCTAATTTGTAGACTGTTGAGAGGCATTCATATGAACTCGCCCACTGTGACCAAGGGGGCTATGCCCATTAGTGCCTCTGTAAGAAAGCACCACCGAGATGCATCTTCTGTTAAAAAAAAAAAGGTGTGGTGAGAATCTGGGAATGAGATCTATTGTATCAGGGATAGAGAACCCCTCAATATGTTTTTGGGATGTCAACTCTTAGCTGCAGATAGCAGAGCCAGTGGTCAGGGCCGTGGGATGCTGGATCCATCAACAGGAGGGCCACAGGTTCCCTGTCATTATATGACCTAAAACCTGGAGCCCAGACTTTCTTCTCTGCTCTACCAATTGTACAGTCTACTCCAGGTTTCCTCCACCTCGGCCCTCCAGATGTTTTTGGCCTACAACTCCCATACTCCCTAGCTAGCAGGTCCAGTGGTCAGGGATGATGGGATGATGGGATGTCTCAAAACATCTGGAGGGCCGAGGTTGAGGAAGTCCTCGTCTACTCTACACCACCACTATCCATGCATGCACAAACAGGTCCTTTACTGCCTTTTTGGAAGCATCAGCAACCGGTGCAACCCAAGAGATGTTTTACATTATTTTAAATGTGTGTATATGGTCAGGTAATATGTCTGTCAGTGCCTTCATCTGCAGCAACACGGAGGCTGCACTTCTGATGCCTGGTGGGCAGGGCCGGATTTAGGTTTGATGAGGCCCTAAGCTACTGAAGGTAATGGAGCCCTTTGTATGTCCAGCTGTCCTTTGTCAACAACAAATTGTCACTATTTTTTATGTTGCAGAACGTGAAGAAGGGGAGGGGGATGACCAACAAATAGGGGGGTGATGGGTAAGGGTGCCGTTTACAGCCCCTTTGATTTGAGGACTAGTGCATCATGCAAAGCAAGAATTGGTGGGCCTGTCCTGGAGGGAGTGATGGGTTGCCATCTGTGCTTCCGGTCCTCAGGGTAACATAGTGAGTTGGGCTTCTGATTTTTGTATGCTGCTTGGTAACCACCTGTAAGAGCAGCTTGTGGTAATTTATGGACCTAATAGGTATCTAAAGCCATTTGCACATGTTGCCCTGCAACCAGTCCATGCAGAATGTAGGCACCCTATATATAGAAATGAGCAAACCTGCGATATTTTAGGGAGCAGGCTAGCAGGCGAGGCCCATTACTTACATCATAGGAGCCTACACAACACAAAACACTATTTGTTTTTTTATCTTATATTTTGGAAATGTACATCCAGGTTTTTTCCCTTTTAAATTTTTTGGGCCCCCCCACAAGAGTGGGGCCCTGAGCTATAGCTTGTTTAGCTTATACGTAAATCCAGCACTGGTGATGGGGAAAGAGGTCAAGTGGTAAGCAATGCATATAAGCTTTGAGGCTTCTTGCACTTTTTTCTATGATTACCATCCACAAACACCTGCAAACTCCAAACTAAAGGTTAAGGTACAGGTAATCCTGACCGTTAGGTCCAGTTGCGGACGACTCTGGGGTTGTGGCACTCATCTCGCTTTACTGGCCGAGGGAGCCAACGTTTGTCCGCAGACAGTTTTTCCGGGTCATGTGGCCAGCATGACTAAGCCGCTTCTGGAGAACCAGAGCAGCGCACGAAAATGCCGTTTACCTTCCCGCCGGAGCAGTACCTATTTATCTACTTGCACTTTGATGTGCTTTCGAACTGCTAGGTGGGCAGGAGCTGGGACCGAGCAACGGAAGCTCACCCCGTTGCGGGGTAAACTCCAAACTAGATGTAGTCAAATTAGGTTTTATTTCATTCTTGCATTCTTATACCCAGTGCGCAGTAGCTGACCCTTGCTGGAGGAATTTCCTTCCTTCCTTCCTCCCTTCCTCCCTCCCTCCCTTCCTGTATCTATTAAATTTATCTCCCACCCTTTTCCTCCCAAAGGGGCCCGGGATGGCGAACGCATCTGTAATCAGAAATACAATTCCAAATAAAATAAATACAAAATTTGCTGAAAACATCTAAACATCTGAAACAGATTTAAGAACAGATGCATAACCAAATCACGTGTCTGGATGGGACTACCGAAATAGAAAATTTTGGAAGGCATCTAAAGAACCACGGTGATATAGCCCACCTAATGTCAAGCAGTGTTGAAGTCAGCAAGCCCATGCTTCAACATGAAAGCTTTCGGGGGTCTAGGGAGACACTGCGCAGGTAATGAAGGGATGATACACAGTCAGGAGCTGCACCATAACAGCATATACCGGTACATCAAGGTTCTTTTCTACTTGAGCTCAGTGCTAGTTCCGCCATAAAAATTAATAAGAGACAGACACAAACACCATCCCAAGTTTGGCTTACCACCCCTCATTCCCGGCTTATTTTCTGCAGCTAATTGTGCTCTGACAGGTAGCAATTGGCAGATTATAGAGCAGAGCGTTCCGTGCCTCTTTTCAAACTGATGTGCCTATGCAATCAGTGCATTTTGTTGCCTTACTATTGTTTCCTGGCGAAATCGCTGTTGTTTAATTTGACTGACTGCCCAGATCCCCCTGCTAGGTGGAAGGAATAATTGTAAAGTAAAACGAGCAAGGAGAGAGGAGCTCGACAATGGGTAATGATATGATAATGCAAAATACAGGAAAGCACAATTGCTCGCTGATGCATGATAAAAGGTGTCAGGGAAAAATAAATATATAACACAAAGCAGCAGCCGCAGCAAGGGTAAACTGCAACTGTTTTCCTCCACTGTTACTTTACAAATTCATCCTTAAGCGACAAGTCCGTTTTTAAAATGAACTAACAAATAAACACCTGTCGAGTTTGTCAACTCGTCAACACATGTAGAGGAATCAGCTTGCGGTTTCTGAATGAGAAAAAAAATTCAATGAAAAATACAAATGGATCATCGTATATTAGTAGTCGAAGAAGAATCAGTTAGCAAATAAACCACTAATCACAATTTTTCTTCTTCAAATGAATGGGTTAATTCATGAAGAAAACCGCATAGTAGCAATGATCACCTTAATCCACACCCACCACTGATGCGCATCCTCTGGAAAGTTGCCCATGAGAGGTTCTGGAAGGTTGCCCTTGGGATGAAAAAGCTTCTCCATTTCTGGCTTATAGGTTGTATTTGACTGCCAGTTTGGTATGCTTCTGAATTTGGAACTGGGGAAGGGAGAGTCATCTTTGCCTCAAGCAGGAAAATGACTTGGGTTGGCCCTGGTGCAGGGCAGGCCATATGGCACACATTGCTCTGTCCACTCCCTGCCCCTCAGTATCTGCTACCTGAGGCAGCCAATTCACTCCATCTAATGGTAGGGACAGAGGATGAGATGGCTGGACAGTGTTCTCGAAGCTACCAGCATGAGTTTGAGCAAACTGCGGGAGGCAGTGGAAGACAGGAGTGCCTGGCGTGCTCTAGTCCATGGGGTCACGAAGAGTCGGACACGAGGACACGACTAAACAACAACAACAATGGTAGGGCCGGCCCTGTATTGAGCATTCCTCTTGATAAATAATTTGACCATAAATTGAATTATTGTATTTCTATACTGTTTTTCGTTCAAATGAATCTCAGAGCAGCTTACAAACAATCAATAATAATATCATAATAAGACATAATAACTACTGCCTCCCATGCCGTTTTTGCTGTGTTAGCATCACCGAAGTGACCTCCCTGGGGCGCAAACCTGGGCAGTGTGTATGG